AGAGTGAAAGCCACAGCACGTTGCCTGGAACCAGCTTCCAACATTCCGACGGCTCGCATCATCACTTCTCGGGTTAAATGATGTCGTCTCTCCATAATAATGTAAATTGTTTCGGTTCCGATGCAGATATTGTAATGATTTTGTCAAAACGCTATAATTCATTTTTATACAAAACCACATTGACAATCGATTTTCTTCTTATTATCGAATTTTAAACAATATTCCTTATTTAAATGTTAAAACTCACTAAAAAGTATCAATAGCGATACAAAAAAGTTAATATAATTAACCCTAATTGCAGCAATACTCTTAAACGTACTTGATCCCTAGACACTTTTGATGTGTGTATATTGATGATGCCCACTACAAATTTAAATTTGTCTAAGTGCCATCAGATTCTTGTACACCTATACCACAAACACCCAGACCCATATAATAATATTTTTTCTACTCCTGTACTTTATTGAATCTGTCAATTATATAATATGATAAATAGATAGATATATGATAAACCATATCATAAAGGCGCTCTTTTTAGTCCTGAAACAAAATTCTATTGTTTATGGTACTCGCCTATGACCTGAAAAAAAATCATTAAAGTTCTGTACACAGAACTATAATGAGTTTCAAAAATAGAATGTGGTATTTTTGCTAATTAAAATATCAATTAGGACGCTACTCAAACGCTATACTGCCTCCTGATTTGTCAAATTGGCCTAAAAGTCATAGAACCGGGCCACAAATCTTCAAAAAAATTATTGATGGAAAAAAAATGCGGTACGTGGCCAGTTCTACTCTATCTCCTTAATTTTTCTGTTTTGAAGCGTTTGTTTGGCTTTCCGGACCACTGACGCGAAACGCACAAGGTTTTTTTCACACTTACTACATGGACTTATAGCTATTTTTTGTGACGACTTCCTGAGATTAAGAATGTTTATATCAATAAATCATTGGTGAGAGTATATGGTAACAGTTAAACCAATAAATCATTCGTACATTTTTTTGGTACTAAATTTGTAAGTATTCGTTAAGATGCACACGACTCTCTGAAATCGCACTAATTTAACTAACAAGCAGATCGAGCTGGAGTTTCTTTTGCTATTAGGGTACACATTTTTGGAATAATAAGTTTTTATAGATATTGAATAAAAACGGTAATCTGAGCTACACCCGCCATATTGAATATCGATACGATGTACCTTTGATATTGCTATAACACTATAATGGAACAACCAATGGAGGTACAATTTAGGTACATTTTTTGATATCAAATTTGTCAGGATCCGTTAAGGTACACCCGCCATTTTGATTCTCATATTCATTGCCACTGTCAGTGGGCGAGTGTCCGATTGTTGCAACGATGCTATCCAATGAGACATTCTCGAGGATTTGTGTGCCTCTGCGCGCGTCGCTCTGAGATATAAAGTTGACGAGGCCGATGTACAGATACAATTTCACCAGAACCCTTATCCTTTAAAACTGGAACCCAGCACATTACTAGCGCAGAAATAGGGAAGGTTTTGTAGCAGTAGAGCTATTTCTGCCGCCAAGCAGTAGTAAGAGCATTACTGCGTTACGGTTTCGAAGGGTAAGGGAGCTGTTGAAATTACAGACACATGGGACTTGTCAACTTGTGTCTCAGGGTGTCGGGCGCAGTGGCAGTGTCCCTCAGACCTTTGTGATTGAAAGCTCTGAGTGTTCATGCAACTGTTATGGACAGGCGTGTCGCTTACCATCAGGCGCACGACTTGTTCGTCCCGTCACTTAGTTTTTATAAAAAAAAAGGTGGCAGTATTTCCCAGGACGTATTCACAAGGAGCTCTACTGCTACTAGAATAGAGTATGAAAGTTAACGTATTTGTCTCTACCGTCAATGATGGTAAGATATGAAGTATTTATATGTGGGCTAAACAGTGAATAAAAACACGAAAGAGTCTGAATCACTGAGAACAACAAGGTGAACTGGTTACATCATCGAAATAGCTTCAGGATATTACCGTCAGCGCTGCGTCATATCCGGTGACGAGACTACTTCCGTATCCGTTTTGAAGACTTGGCGAGAATTGATTTCTCCCACTTGCAACTTGTGACGACTGGCTATTATATAATTATACATGGTGTAAGTCTATCAGCATAAACGTGAGGGACGACTCGCGACGATAGAAAGATAGAGCGTACTTTACCTAAATCAGAAAAGGGCTAATAAGGTTCAATGTCCTTAAAAATTAGCTTTACTTTTAGTCATAAAAATGCTTGCGATTAAATGGTACAAAACTTAAAAATGATTTATCGATGTTTTTTTAGCTAAAATGGATTACATAGCGTTACAAGCATTTTTTTCAGCATTGACTTAATTTCAGTTAGTACTTGTGCGTGTCTTTTTCACCAATATTTCAATAGTTTTTCAACTTTAAAATTTTTTTCTTAAATTTGTGCCCAAATGACGTTGACCATTATATCCCTTTTCAAATTGAAAGACATGAACATTTTTTCAAGAGAATGGTTCAACGGAAATTAGACTACAGAATATCACAGTGGAAAATTTACAACACAATTACGAGCTTAGATATAGTACAGGTTATATACTAAATTCATTATTACGAGCGCGAGCGAAACGTACGACGTCTTGTTAGCCTTATTGCACGGATATGAAATTTTTTCTGGTCAGTTTTTATAATGGGTTTTTATGAAACACGTTTGTGCGAACACAATTGTCCAAATATGGTCAAAGCATTCCATTTCTCATAACGCTAAATATAGGCCGATGGATCATCAATGACGCTTCTGTGATTCAAACATTGTGATGATAAATTTGTGCTTTCATTTTTTTTTGAGCGAAAGTAATATTATTAAAATTACATTTTACTTGATTTAGTATAATGTAATTTTAATAATTATTTTTAATTAATTTAATAATGCACACACTCATAGCCCCGCACTTGGGAAACCCGCGATAGCGGGTGCCATGAACACACATATAGCAAACCACAAATTACACTCAAACTCACGAGGTAAATAAGTGTAGGCCCAAGTGTAGGTGAAAATACTTCTGCCGGCCGGGGAATTGAACCAGTTAATAACACTCAATTATATTGTTATATCACATTTATTGTAACACTTACCTTACTTACTTAATAACAACAAATATGACCTTAATAAATGGTTATTCCCATTTGATGCTAACAACAACAACTACAACTGATCCACTGTCAATTTAAACCCGAACTAATCCATTTTATACTTTTCAACTCCCAACGAATCCCCTCAAAAAAATTAAAACAAATCATATTTACAACACGTACTTATTTAAATAATTTTCTTTTTTGTTCAAACGGGTATTTTGGTATTTTTTAAGAATATTGTCTTGCTAACGGTAAAGGAAAATATCGTTCCCAGGAGGTTCATTAACCTGAAATGAATTGAAAAACCTGCGAAGTCCCCAACCAGCAGTTGGTAGAGACCCTAGGGGATACCCAGAAATAAGCCAATAACAATGACTAAAGCATTTAAGGTTTTAATAATAAAACACATTTTGATATCACTACGTCTCCCAACGAACTTTTTAAACAATATTTACTTACATAGTTAGATAACTCGGAGCCAGTTATCACTACAAACGTAATGTAACAGAATTCGGTGTATTGTTTATGTAATGTGTTTTACGACAAGATAAATCTTAGCAAATATAATTACGTGTCGTTTTGTAATTATTAGATAAATGATTTATTCCTCGATCGTAGCTTCTTTGTTTACAAATGTACTTTGCAAGGTCTAATTAAAACATAAAATGTACGTTAGTTATAGGAAATGAAACTATTTTTCAGGTAAAAAAATAGGGTGGTTTGCATTAATATTAGACATAACTGGTTGAAGACTGTACCACCTCAGTCAACCGTGACCATGGGACCTTTAAAGGGCCCGAAACGCCGGTTTGTTTGAAAAAACAAATATACGCGATTTAAATCCGGAAAAATAGTTTCATTTCCTATGTGTAACAATCGCGAAAACCTAAGAACTCGATATGTACGTTAGTTCCTTATCCGTAACGACTTTGTGTAAACAAAATGTAAATATGTTAGCCGTTTTTCCGTGCTAATGACAAAATCCAATTGTCTAATATGGCGTTTATTTTGAGAATGAACAAATTTTAGCAATATAGGTATGTCAAAAGCATATTATTGTCCTCACCAACTGCGGAACTTCCGCAGTTGATGAAGCAGTAGCAGAGGTCTGTTGCATCACTACCACATATGCATAAAGTACAGATACAACTAAAACTTATACCGCAAATGGTGGACAAATAATTTAACTCAGTTCAAGTGAACTCAGGTAACAGAATCCTATTATATTTTAGAGTTTACAGGAAAGATAGAGAGAACAAGAACACTATAGTTTTATTTCATTGTAAAATCAAGAGGGACTACAAAGACTGCGTTGTTCGTGTGGTGCAATGTCATGATGAAACTATACATATTTGTCACACCGTTGTTCTACTCTCGCATTTGTATAAGTTCAAACTATAGGAATCAGGAAAAAAAGGGCATGTTATAATTGGGATTTATTAAACACTGTATGTCACCCTGAGATATAAGTTGATAAGTCTCACGTGCCAGTAATTTCACCATCACGGCAGTTTTCCACCGACGAGACGTGACAAGGCGAGGCGAGACGAGACGAGAATTGAAATCTCGCTGACGTATTTCCACCAAAACCTAAACTTTCTAGCAGTCAACTTATACACGTGACAAATTACCAGTCACAATGTTTTTCTTATAGATAAGATAGTTACATCATATAAAGGAACGAACGATTACAACATTCAAATGTTGTGCAATGTTATATAAATTGTGTAACATTGATAGGGTGGTTCCCCAATTCTGACGAGGCCTATCCCAAACCTTCTACTCATCGTCATAAATCTACACATCTTGACTCTCGTTGAATTAAGACTAGTGTTTTTAAACTATGATCAAGTAGTTAAATTTGTTTTCTGTTACAGGTATAAAATCTGTGTAGTCGCCAGTGCCGACGCCACAACTTGTGGAACTTGCGTACATAATATCTTTAGTGTAAGTATGAATCATCACATCACATCGTAGAGTACAGATACACATTTACTCATTTTAAGGTATCTCAATTACGCATTAGGTTCAGTAGAGCTCCTTGTGAAAGAGTTCGTCTGTAGAGAACAAATGTAATTAATTACATTTGTTTTACTTGTATTGTATTAGAATAAGTTATATTGAAATAAATTTATCTTTATATTTATTATCTTTATCACAATTTACGCATACCTTTAATGTAGCAATGCCCAAAACTTGTTGAAATTAAGAAACATACTTATTAAATGAGGAGTCGACTTGAACGAGTCAGAACAAGCTCTATATCTATGTCATAACATCTAGATATATGTCTGTGGTCATAATCAGTGATCAGAGTTAATTTAGCTATATTAAATAATAACGTGGATTTTCCCTTCTACAAACCCCGGGCCTTCTCGAAACTGATTGTATTTGAATATATTATTATTTATTGAAATTTGAGTTACCTACTCAAATCTCTATCTCTATTTCATTAACGACAATGGTAATTGACTATGGCAATTGGTAGTGACCCGCTTAGCTCGTTCAGGTATTCTCAATGTTTAAATTAAATATTGTAATGATAAATGTATTCAAATGTATATTTACAAAGAGGAAACTCCAAACTCTAGAGTTTCTTGCTCATTCTTCTCAGGGGAATCTGCCGTACGAATGAGCAGTAGAGTTTAATCAGTATCACGATTTCAAGTCTAATTTGCTTACCTATGACATAAAGATTAATTGACTTTGAAGAAAACGTTCATACTTTAGGTAAATTAACTCCATCGATTGCGATCTATAATAAGAGCGAGGAAAAGACGTTGCAAGATTTGCTTTACTCAGCCGACGCGAAATGGAAAACGAAATTACATTGACATGAAGCTTTTTCTGACCAGCTTCAGGCGACTGCGTAAAGACGAAAGTGGTGAGTCCCTTAAAAGTCGATACTACCGTAGCTCGAATTGAACTTTGTCCCGTGCTAATACGGTTCATTTTGCTTGTGTCGAGCGGCAGGAACACCGGCTTTATTTCAGACTTTATTTTTTTACATACGCAATTAAAGCCATTGGAAAAATTTATATATCGTGTAGTATACGTGGTCTACTTATTGGAATAGATATAAAAAAACATATAGGCACTATTGAATACAGCGGTTTCCTTGTAAAATTTCGAGGTAAGTTTGTGTTTTTTTTACCTATCGTGAAAGTTTTTAGGATATGTGTTTTCATACCGTATAATAATCAGTGTATGTCCTCAATTTTACTATAATAATAATATTCTTTATTGTACAAAGAAAAGACACATGAAACACACGTTACAATGGACATATACAAAGGTGAGCTTATCTCTATAAGAGATCTCTTCCAGCCAACCCTAGCTGTGGTGCAAAAATGAAGTCTGCGGGACTAATTAATGTACAACAAAATTTAAATTTAAATGTGAATAAAATTTAAATGATAATAATATACATACGACAGACATATGCACATACATTAACTTTATATACATAAATACATACATAAGCAGAATATATATTATAATAACAGATCATTTGTTTACAAATATGTTACCTATATACTATCTAACGCGTTCGACAGGAAGTGCTCTTTTAATTTGTGTTTGAAAGATGCCACCGATGGACTATCACGAATGTTAGCAGGTAGTTTATTCCACATACGAGCTGCACTTACGGTAAAAGAATTGTGAAAGAATTTGGAGTTGGATTGGGGATATAAAAGTGTTCTAGTGTCACAGGTACGTTTTGGGCGGGAATTGGGGGATAAGGGGGCTATATATTTTTTCCAAAGTGATTGGCTCAACACTTTCACTGTTTTGCGGAATCAACCAAACCATTTGAGGTCGTATTGACTCATAAAATCTCCGTCCCTTTCAGGTCAGATTGACTTTTGCTCTAGTAAACTTAACAGCTCGCTGAACTTCACATACTACAAAGTCCAAAGTATAAAGCTAAGTATGGTTTGACTATGACTTACCAAGTGACGTGATGAACAAGTCGTGCACCTGGTGGCAAGCGACACGCCTGTCCATAGCAGTTGCATTGCCACTCAGCTTTATATTGCAAATATCTGATGGGCGTACGTCCCGAAACGCAGTAATGCTCACATTACTGCTTGCCGACAAAAATACCGATTACTGACCCTGGACGAACTCTATCACGAGGAGCTCTACTGCTACTAAGCAATCTGTGCCTATCCACCGAGAGATAGGGAGTTTCGGGGAGACTATGGGCTCCCTGATAAGACCACGGTACGGTGGGCATCCGGGCCGAGCCCTCTGTCAGTCATACGCCTTCACGGGCGTCTCTGACGGAGGACTCGCCGGGATTTGTGCTTAGCTGCAGGGACGAACACGTTCGTCAGCCTCGGTGGTGTCTGGCCAGGGCGTTTGTCCCGTGCGCAGTTAGCGGTTTTTAGTAGCGTCTAGACGAGGGCCTCATAACGAGAAAACGCGCGGGTCACGTGAGTTGCCCAATAAGTCGGAAGCTATGTCCGGACATTGTCTCAGGACTCTGCTACTAGCCCGCTATCTCTGGCACTAGCCCGGAGAGCTAGTAGAGGATGAGCTTGAACATCTTTCGGTCTTCCAGTCGCGTAGGAATTTGGTAACTGGATAGGCGCCGTTCATTCGGCATCGGGAAGTGAGATTTGGTAGTTTGCTTAGAGTCGACGGCTCAGCGGTAGTAACCGTTAGTTCTGCAGAGCGCGATGGGAAGTGAGCGCGTCTACAGCTCCGGTACCTTACTGGAAAATAGAGAGGGTACTGTACGTGCTAGCGCAGCTAGAGAACCGGATGAAGTCGTGAAGATGAAGAAGACTTAGATGGTCCCCGTGCAAGCTAGATCGCACAGGTCATAGTGGCCTTCTCGTATAACTTAAGGGTCGGTAGGGAGGGTCACTAGAGTCAAAATTAATGTAGAAAGTAATAGGGCTGCTACTAAGCAATAAAAAAAGATATACAAATAAAGTTTCGATTGTATGTTACGACTTTCCCACAGCATAGCGTAGGTGCATGTTTATTATACCTTATAAAAAATGGAATTCCCACCTTTCCCCAAAAGACCGTTGCTCGGTCAGTGTCGTGTTGTTACAAATTATTACTTGCGCCGCTATGGGGATTTCAGATTCATAAGGAAATCCCAATTAGTGAAGGCATGTATGTGAAAGGCCTTTGCCAAAAGCACAGTTAATGTAACTTTAACAGTTAAACCGGGTATAACAGTTTCAATAGGTAAAAAGTTAATGCAATGCTTGTCAAAGCAATTGAAGATTCATAAACCTATGATAGAATTTTTTTTGAAAATCCAGTATCTAATATTTTGAACCGCTGCGCTAGATGTAGTTTAAAGTAATATAAGTCTAATACCTTTTGTCAGAGTATTTGTGTGTCAGTTTGTGGCATTGCAGCTCAGTGGTTTTTTAAATTATTTGTGACTTTATTAACTTTCTGGGGTACAGTTTTTTGTAACTGGGTTTTTACATAGCCCAGATGTGAAAAAAAACTCTGATTAATTTAAATCAGACTTTTTTTCACATCTGGGCTATGCTGTAAACACGTATGTAGATATAGTACATTTTTCTGGAATCCAAACTTCGGAACCATTGAAGACGTTTACGTTAAGTTCACTACTGGACTGTGAACTTGTTTAGTTGTAACAAAAAACAATATGTACTTACATAATGATGAGAACCAAATACTTGTATCAACAGTCACAAAAAACGTCGTGTTTGGTCTTTTAACTTTGTATAAAACTGATGATATTTTCTTTCAAATGTGCAAATCTCGAATTCAAATTTTTCCCGTACAGAGGCCCGAGTGTAAATATATAATCAACAAACTTAACTACCACGCGTGCGTTTGCGTTTTTATTTAGATCTTAATTATATGTTTATAAGATTTAGGGGAACGTGGGGTATTGGAAGCCCGCGGGTAATGAGAGCGGTGTTAAACTGGACTTTCCCAATGCTCGTATTTGTGCAAACGGCACTCCTATATCTTCGTTAACGTTCGACAAGGTTCGAGTCCCGTGGGCGCCCCCGTAGAACCTCGCGTTTAGTCGTATGAGATGGTTATGTGTTTTTCGCTACGCACTTATAAAATTTGCTAAATTTCATCATCCCAGGTAGGCATTAAAATGCATAGATACTACATTGTATTTACACTAGCTATGTCACCATATCTATCAAATTTTAGAAGTTATGCTTGAAATCACAATAAAAACAGAAATGTTTTTAGTGTTTTATTCCTTTTTCAATTCGATATTACGCGGGTAATGAGAGCTATTTGGCTCTCCTTATCCTATTGCAATATTCACTGGATATTCCTTTGACACTTTCTTGTTTATTTTCATTACTTTTTAACTTATATATATACTTTATTACTTTAATTTTTTTTCAGACTGATTATATATAATGGCTCCCATTTGACATACGGGATTCTTACCGGCTCCCATTTCACGAACTGTGGGGTAATGAGAGCGAATGACATGTTTTGGTTTTTTCTTTTTTAACCAAATATTTTATTTTAGTTTCACATTTTTTCTGTGATTATCTAGTACCCAGATATGTAAAGCGTACGTTCATAACTAATAAAAATTTAACCTTTTATTGTCAATTTTCCTTAGTAGGCTCCCGTTCCCCCACGCTCCCCTAAATTAAAATCTTAACACAAACGTGATAACACGTTCTTAGGTTTTCGCGATTGGTATACATAGGAAATGAAACAACTTTTCCGGATTTAAATCGCGTATATTTGTTTTTTCAAACAAACCAACGTTTCGGGCCCTTTACAGGTCCCATGGTCACGGTTGACTGAGGTGGTACAGTCATCAACCAGTTATGTCTAATATTAATGCCATGTTGGTTGGTGGTAATGTTGGTTTGTTTGAAAAAACAAATATACGCGATTTGAATCCGAAAAAATAGTTTGATTTCCTACAAACGTGTTATTTAAGTTTACATATTTGAAAA